GTCACAAGAACCTATACACCATGCCATGAAACTCACACACCACATAGCCACCATGCCATGAAATACAAACCCATTCTAAATTTGTGTTCTAAGCACCGCACAAATGCAACAAGAAAATCAAAATGACTGCACACCAAATAGCTCAATCCACGAGCTAAAATACCAAGCCATTCGTTCGATAAGAACTGGCACCCAACCATCCTGGACCAACCAAGCTCCTCGCCTACTCCGGTTAAAACTTACGCAACCATCCCTTGCTCGATCGCATATATACATAGATATAGATATATACATATACAAAATGAATGGAATCCACAATACCAATGTTCATTACTTGTCACATTATCATAAAATAAAAAATATAAAAAAAAAAGAAAAGAAAAAAAAAAAGAACTGCTCACACTGTGCCTACCACTTGCCGCTACCATACTCTTTATACTTATCATTCTATCAAAATCAACATGCTTCCAATTATCATTATGGTGACAATATACATTATTTTAAACACGTAAGCATGTAATTACATAAGCAAATAGGCAGATAAGCAAGTAGGCATGCCTTTCAAACAATTAAACACCTTAACATATAGGCACATAGTCATGCAATTCAACTTCCCTATATAATCCTAGGTAGGCCTTTCCCCATTATCCTAATCATATTTGAACCATTGTTCTGATACCAAGTTTATAGCGACCTAAACCGGGGGTCCGGATCGCTAACCGGGTCCTTAACCAAACTTGAGGACATACTAGGGGTAAAATGGTCATTTTACAATGTGAGAGGGTAATCCATCCTTAAAATAATCAAATGAGGTTTAAAAAAATCATTCTTAATCATTCCATTATGCTCAGTAAGATTCTACGGTCATCGGTTATGATTTCCCAAAAGTACCCTTACCCAGTTCAAGGAAAATTTCGACACTATTTTACTAAAATGACAATAACTCTCTACATGAATAGAATTTGAGGATGAGGTTGGCCCCATTGGAAAGATAACTCAAAATCCTTAAAAATGGATTCAAAAATGACCTTATTTGGGTTTGGAACGAAGAAGTTATGACCGTCCGAAATTAAGTGATCAAAGCTGATAAAACTATAAAGGGCAAAAAGCCCACTGGAGGGCTGGAACCGGTACCCAAACTTGGTACCGGTTCCACATGGGCAGAATACCCAAAATGTGAATCAAAATACCCCTTGAACCGGTTCCAGAATGAGGTACCAGTTCCCCAAGTTCAGAACCTAAAAAAAATGTCCAGAAAGCTTAAGATTAAACATTTGTACACTTAGGTACCCCATTGGTCCCATGGTGACCTTAATCCAAGTCCAAAACCTGTCCCAATACAATGTAAAATAATGCTCTATATGTCATGGTCACTTACATCAACAATTTAATAGAATGCAATATCATTTTTCCTATTCAAATAAGATATATTACATAATCTTTGTTTAAATTTACATCAAAATAGAGCCAAAGGCTCATAGTTGGATTTACAAGGCCATGCTAAACACTCTTAATACATATCAAAATGTTGATTTACAAAAAAAATGGCCCAAGTCTACAAAGTGGTTACAAAACACACTTCAATTTCCATCACATGCTTGTGGAAGAATGTCATCCACCACCTCCTTCCCGTGACCTGAAAAATGTTAATAATAAGCGGTGAGCAAAATTGCTCAATAAGTGGTGCCTAAGACACACTTCTTGTGACCCCGTGAATCCAAACAAGAAATAGGAAAAAGGACCGGGATCATGCCATTTCGGGAAAAATATAACAACAACATCAACAACAATAATCCAAGTCACAAACGAACAATGACATGCTATGGAATGCAATGCCATGCAATGTCACTCCCCATTTCCAAAACCTTTTCCGTCATCATTTCTAAACTGTTAATGCAACCCGTCCCTTGGTAACTCCATGGCGGCACGAGAGAATGATTGGCTAACTGTTCCTGACCACAAGGCAACTCTAGGGCGTCATTTGGGGCCTAGTTAACTCAACCACACTAGGGCAGTCTCCCTAATTCCCTCTAGGTCACATTAACACCATGGACCTATAGGTAACTCCTAGGCGACCAGGTTTTCGCAAATCTTTCGTCAAAAACTTTTTTCCCAAAATCATTTTCTTTTATTTTTAAATCATTTTCCCATTTCTTCCCAATGCTTATGCATGAATGTATCATGCCATTTCAATGCCATGTCCATAGAGGATTTCATGTTTCACAAATCAAACATCAACAATATAACATGTCTTGTAGAAAATTTCAAAAAAGAAAAACAAACATCATGCTTCCATATTACAACATCTAGTCTTTTCCACACCATAGGCAAGTAATATCATCAATTAAGCATGCTTTTTTACATAATTTTAACTAACACATAGTCACATGATTTACAAAATTTCTATGTCATAATTCATACTTTCAAGTCATGAAATTTAGCACCAAAGGTACAAAGAGCACAAATTAATCATTAATTAGGCATATTTCATCATCATATATACCAAGTAACACATAGTCACAACTTTGGCACATCATATATACAATATAGCATGAAATTTCTACAAATCAAATATGCTAATCACAAATTAAGAAGATTAATTCACAAAAAAGCCCAAGAAAATATAAATTAGAAATCCTTACCTCCAAAATGGAAAAATTCCCAAATTGAGCCCAAATTTCGAAATTCCAGGGTTGGCAAATGAGAAATTGCTTACATTAATGTGTAAATCTTGATGTACTCTCCGTTTTGCTGCAAATGGCACAAAAAATCTCCAAATAATTGGAGAGAAATCAAAGATTGAAGCTTATAAAAAAAATAAAAAAAAATAAAAAAAAAAAAGAAAAAGAAAAAGAAAAAGAGAATGGGGGAGAGAGGAGAGAGAGAGAGAGAGAGAGAGAGAGCCAAAATGGCTTTGGTGGCCATAAAAGAAAAGAAAAGAGTGGTGGGTCCCACTCATAAAAAATATCTCACCATTTTCTATATATATATATATATATATATATATATATATATATATTCCAAATTAAATCCCAACCACATAAAATAACACACCACTATATAAATATGCATAAAATAATTATGCATGAAATGCGATGGATCCAAAAACATGGTCCCCGTACACAACAGTCCCGGCAGCGGGTTCCACCCGGGCCAGCCTGAAAAACGAAAAAATGCCGAAATGGTAACCTTTGCATTTCAAAGAATCCTGAACTCAATTAAATGCCCCAACCAACTCTCAAACACACCTGACGCACTCCACGGTGTTCGGCACGCAAAACGAAAAAAGACAAAAATACCCTAAAAAAATTAAAAAATTTCAGAAAATAAAAAATAGCAAAAATTGTAAACATTACAGTCTATGGCCGGCACTACACTGATGCCTGACTTAGCCGTCTTTATTTTATAGGGAACAGTGTTGTACGAGATCGCGACGAATTTCAACCCCAACAAGTTCAAAGCGCACTTAGGTACCTGAGGTCTTCTAATCGTAGTAAGGCAAGTGTATAATAATAATAATGTATATTAATTATAATATATAACGAATGATTAAACTATGCAACACAAACCGATCAATATCAAAATAAGAAAAAAATTCAACATATAAGTTCAATGGATTAGATATCTTTACAATTTGCGTATAAATTTAATAAAATTAATATACAATCGGAATAATTCATGATATGAAATATAAATTATAATATATTTTCTAATTATGAAATATTAGATACATAAGCTAAGAGATTAGGTAATTAATGCTCATAAATATTCTTTGATATGTACATGCATTAACCAAATTAAATGTGACAAATGGTATAGCCTATTAAAAAAATATTAAAAAATTAAAGGCACACTTTATTTTAGCCCGGAACCTACTAAAAAGGGCAAGCCTGGCGGGGTGTCTCACAAACTTTATCACTTTGGGCCTGAACACCTTTTTAACAACTATGTATAGAAAAGAAAGTAAACTTTTGTTATCTATTTAAAGTTGGCTAAATTCGAATGTATTTTTTATTTTTATGATTCATTAAAAAAATAAAAAAAATTACTATCAAGGGTTGCAGTTTAATTGTACTTTTTCACCTTTAAAATAAAAAGTCCGCCTTCAAATTTTTGTAGAGATACAGACTGAATGTGTGAGTTTATTGCGAGAAAAAATAAATAAAAATCAAAATAAAATAATTTTAAAATTAAAAATGATTAATCAAGTCAAATCTAAATTCATTGAAATATAAATTCGTGTTTGATCTATTAACTCGTTTATAATATGATTAATCCATTTAACAAAATGTATTAATAAAATATGTTGTGTTTACATAAAAAAATTATTCATTTAACTAAGCTTATTGAATAAACGTATCATATTCATTTAAAAAATGACTTAAATATTATTCCATCCGTGCCTTATTAATAGTCTATTTTTCTCTTTTTACATGTCTCAAATTAGTTGTCTTCTTTAAAAAGTTAAAGTATCTTTTTTTTATATTTCAATCATTGTCTTTTATCTTTTTAAAAAATTTTAAACTTTGTAATTATATATTTAAATTTAAAAAGAACAATAAAGAAACAATACATTAATTACATGTCCCCTTAAAATATAAAATAAAAAATAAATAACTAATAAGAGATAAAAGTGGTACTTTTTTTGTTGGTAAGTCTCCCAAAACAAAAACCAAACACACGAATTGCCAGCACTTGGCACGTGAGAAGAAAATTGTGTCAAATTTATTTAAGCCTTCTTTTCCTAGCTTCATTTCTAATTGCACATGGGACCAAAATTACGTCACCACTCTGCAATCTCATCCAAATATCTCTTCAACAAAACATATCCATTTTTACGTTAAATAACGCGCCAAAATAAACTGCCAAACCTCTCTGTCCAATAATCATTTGCCACGTTTAGAAAACCCACTATGCCACGTCATCATTTATTTATTTGGCAAGTGAACCCCACCCTGTCTTCATCAATTCACACGCTACAGCTTCCCCTTCAATTCAATCCGCAACATCGCGCATACCTCTCTCTCTATATAGACACACACTGAATATACACGAATATACACATATACCATATTCTTTTGTTCAGACATTCAAAGAACGTAGTCTTCTCTTAGGCACGATGAAACCATCCATTCCCAATCATACGGCGGAGGATGAGGATCAGGCCATCACCAGGCGGATCAAACGGCTCTCGTTGCACCTCAGCCCAACGACACCACCCCTCCAATATCCCCTCTCCGACCTCCGGCTTCTATCGTGCGCCGGCGGCAGAGCGAAGCTTGACGTGAGCACGGAGCACCTATCTGACTACATGAGGGGCAAGCACAGGGACATCCAAGAGAGGGTGTTCGAGTATTTCAATTCCAGACCTGATCTTCAGACCCCAGTCGAGATCTCCAAAGACGATCATCGTGAGCTCTGCATGAGACAGCTTGTGGGTCTGGTCAGAGAAGCTGGAATTAGGCCTTTTAGGTACGTTGCTGAGGACCCATCAAAGTATTTTGCCATTGCTGAAGCTGTTGGCAGTGTTGATATGTCGCTCGGTATCAAGATGGGGGTTCAGTACAGGTAATTTATACCCCCCTTTTTTATCCCACATGTATATAAATGTGTGTGTGAGTGTGAGATATATGAATTGGCTTGTAATAAACAAGATTTATGACTCATACAGCCATTTGATTGAAATAGGCACATCATTTTGGGGTTGCATTGTATAAGATTGGTTTTTGGGTGATTGGGTCCAAAGTGTGTGCTGTGTGTTTATCCCATATTTGTGTGTGTGTGTGTGTGTGTTTGTGTGATATTTGAATTGGCTTGTAAGAAATGGTTAAGGTTTATAACCCACATAGCAATTTGATTGAATAGGTACATCATTTTGGAGTTGCATTTTATAAGATTTGTTTTGGGTCCAAAGGGTGTGCTATGTGTTTATCCCACATATGTGTGTGTTGATATTTGAATTGGCTTGTAATAAATGGTTAAGGTTTATGACCCATATAGCAATTTGATTGAGGTGGGCACATCATTTTGGGGTTGCATTGTATAAGATTTGTTTTGGGTCCAAAGGGTGGGCTATGTGTTTGTTAAAATTTCAGAATTAGTACTGAATTAGTCAATTAGGAGTACTTTTTAGTATTGGTGTTGATAGATTACTGTCTCAGTAGATTAAATCTATTTAAGCTATTTTGATCGATGAACTCAAATCCCCAATTGTATGTACTGACGTAAGTTGTAGGAATTTATTTGTTTTTTTTTATTGTTGATGGGTTGAACTACCCAAAATAATCATTTTAGATAATATACAGTAGATTCATCAAGTTAGTTCTGATAATCTATGTTGTATTAATGATTGAATAATTATATATGCTGTTTGATATAGACTGAAAAGATCCTACTCCAATTTGATGAACTGCCTTTTCTCGTTCATTTGTTTTAATTATTTACTACATGGTACTTGTTCTCAATCATTTTTCAGTTTAGTATATTATGTTTCTGTTCTTAAGCTTAGGTCAGTCCATCATTTTTCTGGTGTCTCCTTTGCAGATGGATACTGTACCTGACTTGCATTATAGTGTGGGTACTGCTTTATTTGAGAAAACCTCAAACTGAGATAATGATGTTGTAAACCTTTGCAAATTGCTTAGGCAATTTCAAGATAAACCAAAAAGAACTAGTAATTTATAAAAAATTAAAATCATGTAATACAAATCTTCTAGAAGTTTTGCAAATGAAAGTTAGCATAATTTAAAACAGTTATTATAATTTTAAATTTCAAATTTGTCAATGAACTTACCAAGGGTTGGATGTTGCCTCTGTTCCTCCCTTTTTTGCCCAAAAGATCAAATCTCTAGATTCTCTGGTATTCAGTTTCCGATTACCTCCATATTTCCCATAAATCAAACGAAATATAAAAACCATTTCATTTAGGGTTCAACCAGTTGTGATGCCTCGGTCCATCTTCTACTAAGTTTACACAATTACGTTTTAGTATTCATTTGATATTTAGTGAAATATAACAGGACTATAAAATTGATTAGAGTAAAAATTTAGTTGTCTTTCCACTAATCTCCTCTTATTATATATTTTTATATATTTGATCTGTATCAAATTCCTTGATTATAAAAAATTGCACATTACCATCTAAATTTATATTAATATCTGAACTACTTTGCGATGAAGGCCAACGGCCTAACCATAGTTAGCTGGCTATCAAATGTCCCTTTCAAATTACTAAATTGCTCTTAAGTGTCTGCAGCAACACTTAAGATTTGCAAATTAATAATTGTTTGTAGATGATGCAAAAAATCATGAAGCAATGCTGCTTCGTCTAATTATGGAACAGTTGAAAATCGAAACTGTAATTCAATTCAAATTCTGTTACTACAAATTTACAAAATAAAATCTTGTGATACAATTCAAATTGTCATTACAAATTTATGATAAATTCATGTCCACACTAAAATCAGCCTTCGTATTTCTCTTATAATGCCTTCAATTCTTCTCAGCTTGCTAGTGGAAATCATCGCTGGTCTTCTTTAAAGTTACCCTATCTTTCTATGTCACTTAACTACCACTTGTTATTGATTCTTTGGATTACTGGTTATTCTGCCCTGTAAATGTTATAGTTGAGATTTGAGTGTACGTGTTTTAGGGTTAGAGAGGAGATGAAGAGAAGAAGAATAGGAAGAGAAAGAAAGAGATTAAGGAACAGAATTCGATGGTTTTAGGGTTTCTACACTGCCTCTTGTATATATATGTTGAGATAAACAAATTACAATAATGTCCCCAAAAAAATAACACTATAACAGATATACAAAATTAAGACGAACTCTAACGGTTCTTTTTCTCTTCTGACACTCATTCAGCAAATTCCTCAACGACTTGCTTACTTCTGTTCAACTAGTTGTTCATGTAGCTTAGATAAATTTATAGTTATTGACATCAAATTTCAAATCCCTGCAAATTGATTAAAATCTACAGGTCACATAAACACATCATAGGAGCACTGCCACTTCAATGTCCCAGTAAGAAGCTGGAAATGACATAACTAAATAGTCACTTATGGGTAATTTTTGGCTTTGTTTAAGACTTAACCTTATGAAATGTTGATTATTAATTTTTTTTTTTGTGTATATTTCATCTTGATTATACCTGTTTGATTGAAAAATCTCGTTTTATTTTCTACTTTTACAGTAATCTCTAACTTCACTTAAATCATTGACCAGTAACATATTCTTACCAAAAAGATAGCCTGAACTTGGGCACCTTATTCCATGGTTGTCAAAATCCCGATTTTGAGTCGTAGAATCGCACGATTCTATGATTCAAAATCCAAAATCGATCCAAATCTTAACAACATCGTTCAATTGGTAGAATCGGGGATAGAATCGGTGAAATCGTACATAGAATCGTAGAATCGCACGATTCTATGCGATTCCATCGATTCTACTTGATTTCTTGTTTGAGACCCTTTTTTTGTTGGCTGGTTCCTTCTTTTGATGGTTGGGATACAAAATAAGAAAGCATCTTGCAAAGGGACATGATTGGAGGCTCACCTGGCTATGAAGGAATGGGAAAATGGCTTCGCTGCATCTCAGCTGCCACCTAAACCACCGGACTAAGTGATGATGATATATGGGAGGCATCTTTCTTTTCCTTTTTCTGGTTGCCGACAAGCATGTGGTAGCTTCCATCGCTGTTGTCTTCCTCCTCTCATCTGTTCTTTTGGTGAAATATTCCATTGTTGTTGGCTGCTGCCTCCCTCTTACCTGTTCTTTTGGTGGAGGATTGCTAGGGTTACTAGGCCTCACAATAAGTGGGATTAAGGTTGTGGCTCATGTTACCTGGTTGTTTGGGTTTCTTCGGCTTTGGGCCAGCTTTGGCCCATGCTGAACAATGTAATTATTGTTTATCTTTATATAAAATTTGCTTAACATTCCAAAATAAAAAATAAAAAATAAAAGTCACTCTTAAAGATTTATCTTGCACGGCATTATTATCCTCCTCTAGAACTGATTTGTATATTTTTTTGGGGCCTTTGGAAAGTTTGCTTCAGCCCAAGCTGTAGCTCATGAACATTATCAACGTCTAGAATATTTCAGAGAAAAAAGCCACTGGTTTGTATTTTTTTGGGGCCTTTGGGCCAGTCTGCTTCAGCCAAAACTGTAGCTTATATACATATATATCTTTATTATTTATAAAACTTTTATAACCTTCCACCAAAAAAAATGCCCATCACACTTTGGTTGGAATTATTTTTCCATTCTGATTTTTATTTTATATTATATTCAGACTTTAGAATTATTATTATTATTATTATTATTATTATTATTATTATTATTATTATGTTGGTAGTTTGGCCTTATTATTACTATATTTTACACATATTATTGTTTAAGTAACTATTTTTAATTATTTTTTACATTTTGGTAGAATCTTACGATTTACGATCCAATTCTACAATTCCGATTCTACGGAGTCCAAAACGATTTTACTTAAAATACCGATTTTAACAACCTTGCCTTATTCATGCTTAACTGCTTAGGTGGTGAACAAACTATGGACTTTTGATTAATCTGTCATGTAATCCAGTGGTAAGTAGACAATCTTATGCCTGACAACCAAAAATTTACGAGATAGATAGTCTTTGCTAGGTTATCTTAATGAAGCCACATTATTGGCTTGGTCGGACTATTGAATAAAAGTTCCATATTTTGTTTTCCAATTACTTTTAGGTAGAAATAATAATTCCATTTTGATGTTGGGTCCATCTTCTAGTTTCCTTTCCACGTTCTAACTCATTTCTTTTGCTAACCTACCAGACTGATTTCTAGAACTTTTTTTCTTTTCATTTACTGTCCTTGAGATATTGGAATCAATACGTAGATAATATTTTTTTTCCTTTGAACTTCTCTCCTAATGAAATAAGAAAACAACTTTCAAGCTAGAGAATCGTTGTATGAAAGAAACATGCTTTATGAAGTTCAATTTATTGTCCTAATCTTTGTTTCATCTTATTTCCTGCATTCATAGGTTGATCAACACCTATAAATGTTTACACGGTATCTATCTATATAAAAAATACTACTTCAAGTGCTTGCCATTCAAAATTTCTTTGAGCAACAGAACCAACTGAGCTAAACTGATATATTATATGTATTTTGATGATTATATTTGGATTTTAAATTGCTCTATGGCTTCTTAATTCTATTACTGTGAAAAACTATTCGTAATTTGTTTCAATGCCACAATTCTAATTGCATTTTTTGCAGTACAAATTCTAATATGCTTTTCTCTTTAATGGATCCACATCTATCATTCCATCATGGTTGTTTACCTTAACAGCTTGACAAAATCTAGGTCCTCATTGCAAATCATCAGACACTTACCTAACATTTTTTACATTTTCTCTACAATGTAAATGAATTCAAGTCTTATTTTTTATCATAATTCAGTAGAAGTTCGTTTTACCTTTCTTTTCATTCCTTTTGATAAGGAGAAGCCCTAGGGCTATTATTATTATTTTTTCTTTCCTAGTTGGTACTCACACACACTTGTCTGTTCTAAGACTTGAACCCCTGACCTCCCTTTGGGAAGTAAAAGGCTGATACCGTTAGGCCACTGGCCCGTTGGTCCCTGGGGTATTATTTGTTCTTTAATACATACATATATTTTAATTGAAATTTTAAATGATTTTCACCTTCGAAGTTTTTAAGGTTAGAAAGTGTGGTTCCAGTATGATGTGATCCAATCTGAAGTAGGTGTCTAATGAGCTTTACACACTCTAAACCTGAGATTTAAAATTTTCAGCCCATACAACTATCCTGTTTGTGATTTGTCTTGTGTCTTCTGTTGCATTATGCATTAAGGCCCAAGTTTCATGTGCCTTCCAAATACTGGCTTTGTTTCAAAAAATTAATGTAGGTGACCAAAGATCATGTCATATATGCGAAGAATTGTGGTGTTCATAAATATGATCACCTATGAAGGAAGAAGCTCCTATCGAATTTGGTGTAGGAACTACTGCAGCTGTTCGGGCAATCAAATTCTTCTTAGTCCCTATGTGGTGTTTGGTGCTCAAACGATGTATGGACATAAAATTCAATGTGCATAAAAATATAAAAGGACTATATGGTGTGTCTGCTCAAATTTTATGTGTGATTCCAATTGCAAAACCTATACAAGGACCTTATCTTTTCATGTTGCATTTTGCACCACAATAGTGTTGTGTAAACCTATTTAAAGACCTTGTCTTTAGTTGTTGCATTGTACACCATAAAATTTTCAGTATAGTACTTGTCACAGTTACAATTTAAAAAATTTCACCTTTAAACGTTCCATTCTTCACTGACTTCCAATATTTTGTGCAGTCTTTGGGGAGGTTCTGTGCTCAATTTGGGAACTAAAAAACATAAAGATAAGTACTACGAAGGTATTGACAATTTGGAATATCCTGGTTGTTTTGCTATGACAGAACTACATCATGGTATGCTCTTTTGCCAGCTTTTGTTATTATTTTTGGTGATTTGTTGTTTTCATTTTCTCTGAATGTAATGTCTGCAAACATAATCATTAGGATTCATCATGTATTATGGTGAATTTTTTGTTATTTTCCTGCTGCCCATTAGTTAGAAGAGCTCCTAGATTCATGAAGCATTGTTGGTGCATTCCACCCAAGGTTTATACATAAGATGACCAATCTTTTGCATTTTGTTTCATGAATTCACTGAACATAGGTTTCCATTTAATGTATATTTGAAATCTGAGATAATATCTTGAAAAAATCTGGTTACCCAGTAAAGTTGCCTGTTGACCACCATCTACTCTAAAAGCTTAAGCTATTAGAGAGGGTGTAACTTTAATGTTTAAATCCATCATTAACACACCCCCTCACGTGTATCCTTCTTTTAATCCAACACGTGTTTTCAAATTTTAAATTATCAGGGTGACGGTGAGGCTTGAACTTGAAACCTTTGGCTCTGATACCACATTAACAACCATCTACTCTTAAAGCTTAAGCTATTGGATAGGGTGTAACTTTAATATTTAAATCCTTCAACATTATCCAACAACATGGTGTATGGCATTTTAAAATATGAGGATAGGCCTTCTGCCGGATTTCTTTGTAAATTTTTAGTAGAAATCTAATTTTTCTGGATTATTCATAGTATAGGATTCTTATTATGTTTTCGAATGGGTGAATACTGCTACGGTTGAGAAGAATATACCCAAAAAATCATTTTTATCCTCAAGACTTTACAGAATTATTATTAAAAGTGACACATATCCAATAGTAGTAATGGATCATCTGCTATCACTTTCTACATTTTTAAGTCTGTCTGTCAATTCTTTCCGGATTCTTATTTACTTTGTTAATTTTCAGATCAGAAATTATGCCTTTTATTTTATTTTATTTTTATTTTTGCTGTGTTGTGGTAGATAGATGGCCAATGTAGAACTTATGGTCTCATCTTATGAACATGCAAGGCTATGCCACTTAGGGTGTCCCCTACTAATGATGTGCTGTATCAGAGCCCAAATGCTGTGATTAATGAGCGAGGTTAGCTAGGTCTTTCTCTTGACTCCGCCCTATATTGGTTCCTTGATGCATTTATTTTTGGCAACAGTTCATGCATTTTCAAAGCCAAGTGTGAGTGAAGAAGGTAGTTAAGAACTTAAGAGAGTAATATTTACTTGGAAATTTGCGACATAGGAACACGATAAGTAAATAGATGGTATTAGTAGAGACTTAGTATAGTTTGTTTCCAAGAAATTAAGTAGGCTGGAGATATGTTTTGGAAAATTCAAAAATTGGGATATAACTTTGATATATAGGAGAAGACAAATGTAGGAATGGAGGGTGGAAAATTGTATAAAAAAATATAGAAGAGGATGTTTCAGTGGCCGAAAAAAATGGAGAGAAGATAATGACGAGAAACATTAATATAATTAATGCATATACAGTTCAAGATAAGATAGATGAGTTCTGGATGATAATTTTGAGAGGATATAGATGAATTAATTTAAAGAATACCTGACAGCGAGAAAATTTTCACAGGAGGCGACTTAAATGGCCGCATAGGGAGGTGTTGATACGAAAGAGTACATGGCGTTTTAAATTTGGAGAATGATGAGGCAGTGCAATCTCAGAGTTTGTATTGACATGATGTCATTATATCAAAGGCATGCTCTAAGAAAAGAGATTTGAATTGTGTTAAGCCCAAGTGTGTAAAGGGTGAGAGTAAGGATGTTATCAAAAAGGCAAGATAAACAGTGGAAGGATACTTTATTAAACGATTTAGTGAATATCATGCAGAGAACCTAAGTGGATGAGAACTCATTACCGTTTTGCTAATATAAGCTACAATATTTTTCCTGAAAATTAGGATACTGGAAGTAAAAGAGGATTTAAATACGATAGAAGCAGGAAATTTTGAAAGAGTAAATGGAATTCCTACTGAGGCTTGGAAGTATTTACTATTTAGGTGATGATGGAGCAGTTTGATTGACGAATTTATTTAACAAGATCTTACAAATCTAGAAGAATCCTGATGGATAGAGAAGGAGCACTCTTGTACCTATATATAAGAACAAAGTAAATATTTATAGTTACACAATTATTGTGGTATTTACTTTTTGAGACAAAATGGAACCTAGGGGAGAGTAACTTGGTGAAGATAAGGACATGTGACAACGGTTCTGGAAAATTAATTTTAGTTATGCTTTTGAGATTGACAAGAAAAAATTAATTTTCTTATAGACCATGAAAAAAAATAAGAGTGAAAAAATTGATTTAGGAAAAAATATATAATATGGTTTTGAAGGAGATACTATTGAGGCTTTTGGAGAAGGAAGGAGTACCCAGTTAGATATATTGATATTATTAGGGACATCTATGATTGAGTTGTAACTAGTAGGAGAGGAATATGAGGGTAAACAAGTGAATTTCTAGTAACAAATGCGTACACAAACAATTTGCATTAATTTCTAATCATTTTATTATTATTTGTGGATGAGCTTACTAGGCATATTCGAGAGTATGTACCATTGGGAGACATTATTCACTAACAATTTTGTTTTAAATATATGGAGTGTAAATTGAGCAAATTTAGAAGCAGAAGTGGAGGCATGATATTCGATGGCCAAGATATACCTAAAAGTGACCATTTTCATATCTTGGATTCATCACCCACAATAAAAAAGAGATGTAAAGGAACATTACGCATAAATTTAGACAGGGATGGATGAAATGGAGAGGTGATACTGGAATGTTATTTAATTGTAGAATTCTGATTAGTCAAAGGAAAATTTTTGTTGGACAAGATAAGTCTTGATGTCCCGTATGGAATGTTGGGCAGTTAAGAAACACGTTTGCAAAATGACTATGAGTAAAAGGACCATGTTAAGATGGATGAGTATTAAAAAAATGATAGGATGAGAATGAATCCATTTTTGAGAATTTAAAAGTTGTGCCAATTATAGATAACATGAGAGAAAATCATCTAAGGAGGTTTGCCACGTGCAACATAGACGTTCTAATATGTGGAGAAGTGATTTTTAAGTTAAACAACCCCAACTAGTTAGATTAAGGCTTGTTGGATTGGGTTTCTTGTTCTTTTTTTTTTCCTTGTTTAAATTCACAAAACATATTATGTCTTTACTTTTCATTGTTTACCAAGCACAAGTGGTACTCACATATATTCCTTGTGATTCAAAGGATCCAATGTACAAGGCCTCCAAACAACTGCTACTTTTGATCCATTCACAGACGAATTCATAATCGACACACCCAATGATGGGGCCATAAAATGGTGGATTGGCAATGCTGCAGTTCATGGAAAATTCGCTACAGTTTTTGCCAGGCTGATGTTGCCAAATTATGCTACAAAAGGAGTTTCTGATATGGGTGTTCATGCCTTCATTGTTCCTATTAGGGATATGAAGACCCACCAAACACTTCCAGGGATTGAAATACATGACTGTGGCCACAAAGTTGGCTTGAATGGAGTAGATAATGGAGCATTGAGATTCCGTTCAGTAAGAATTCCCCGAGATAACCTTCTTAATCGATTTGGAGATGTCTCCAAGGATGGGAAATACACAAGCAGCCTTCCGTCCATTAATAAAAGATTTGCTGCCACACTGGGGGAACTTGTTGGAGGGAGGGTTGGCCTTGCATACTCTTCAGTTGCTGTCCTCAAGGTTGCTGTCACAATTGCCACCCGATATTCTTTGCTTCGACAGCAATTTGGTCCACCCAAGCAACCCGAAGTCAGTATTCTTGATTACCAATCTCACCAGCACAAGCTGATGCCAATGCTTGCTTCAACGTATGCATTTCACTTTGCCACACTGCATTTGGTGGAGAAATATTCTGATATGAAGAAGTCTCATGATGAACAATTGGCGGGGGATGTCCATGCGCTCTCAGCTGGCCTCAAGGCTTATGTGACATCTTATACGGCAAAGTCCTTGAGTATATGCAGGGAATCCTGTGGAGGTCATGGTTATGCTGCTGTCAATCGGTTTGGTAGCTTAAGGAATGATCATGACATATTTCAGACATTTGAAGGGGACAACACAGTGCTTCTACAACAGGTAGCAAACAAATCTCATTCTATTTACACATGTTCCATTATTTATTTATTTATTTTGATAATGTAGAACCTAACATATTTCTTGAGATAACTATATAAATTATGTGGGTGATTTACTCGATTTACCTCTTTCTTTAGTGGCTGTAAAACTTGTGTGCTTAGTACTTCTCCTTAATGAGAATTGTTGAGAATGTGTTTAAGCTGTTCAATCAACTTTTCTTAAATATGATATGAGAGCTAGATTGCACTTGGGGCATGTGACAGGTAGCAATGGACCTCTTAAAGCAATACAAGGAGAAATTCCAAGGTGGGACACTTGCTGTCACATGGAACTACTTGAGAGAGTCCATGAATACTTATCTGTCTCAGCCAAACCCGGTAACCGTTCGCTGGGAAGGCGAAGACCATTTGCGAGATCCTAAATTCCAATTAGATGCCTTCAGGGTAAAGATCATTTTGGTTCTCTGGTTTATGATCATACAACAGAATTGTGTGGTGTGTGATAACATCCATGTAGCTTTTGTTCATGTGACTTCTCTTGGTGCAGTATCGTACATCACGACTGCTTCAAAGTGTCACTGTGCGACTTCGGAAGCACTCTAAGAATCTTGGGGGCTTTGGTGCTTGGAATAGATGTTTAAATCACCTTCTGACACTTGCAGAGTCCCACATTGAATCAGTCATCCTTGCAAAATTCATTGAAGCTGTTCAGAGGTACTTCATATTCTAAGCTTCAGAAAAATCTTCTTTTTTTCTCTTGATGATTTTACAATTTTATCTGGCCTGGTTTTTGTTTCAGCTGTCCCGACACAAGTGCTCAAGCTGCTTTAAAACTTGCCTGTGATCTTTATGCCTTGGATCGAATCTGGAATGACATAGGAACTTACCGTAATGTGGACTACGTGTCACCCAACAAAGCAAAGGTATTCAATCATCTAAGATCAATAACTGGCAGAACAACTTGTTGCAAATGATTGTCAAACTGTAAAAGGGAAAATCCCCTGTCGTAGTCATTCTAAATTATTACTCTGACCTCAACCCGAGGTGACCATGTCCATGCTGTCCGTATCAGTTTAATGCCTTAGAGTCCAAAGATATCATGGAAATTCAGTGGCAGGAATAAAATTTCTCTAGTCTCGATAATGCGCTAGATTTGTTTCCGATTTGAAGTGTGAAGGTCTGATGCACGTTTCACTTTGTAGGCAATTCACAAGTTAGCGGAGTACCTGAGTTTTCAAGTGAGGAATATTGCAAGAGAACTTGTAGACGCATTTGATCTTCCAGATTATGTAACACGGGCCCCAATCGGCATGCAGTCAACTGCAGAAGCTTACTTGCAATATACCCAGCATGTTGGATTCCAAGTCCAAGGGAAGGGGATAGCAACTTCAGAGTTCAGATATGTTTGAACAGAAGATGTTGAAGTAGAGGGAATAGTAATAGTGAGAAGACCTTTATTCATGTTTTCCTAATCCATACCTTCACTTGTTCTGTTTGGCAAAACAGATTAGGTATTAATCCCTCAATGAGTGTTGGTACCTCATAAAATCTGAAATGTTATGTTTGGGCCTTAGAAGAATAATGTTAAAAAGTGAACTATTGAACTGTTTTCCAAATTTTATTTGAAAAGAGTTCACTGTAAATATTTGACTAGTAGTGTAGATGCCAATGAATGTCTACTTTTCCACAAACAATTTATATATATGAATTGCAGATTTGCTGCTGTTTCACCAGAAGAAGTCTACATCATGCATTTGCTGCCATAGAGTGAGCATTACTCATTCATTATGCTTCGTGGATGCATTGAAATTCGTTTTGGTGTTTTTTCTTGATATGCCAAAGTGTCACTACTTCGGCTTGAACTTGTCCAGCAACAAGATATAAGAAGAAGGAAAAAAAAAAAAAAAAAAAAACTTGGGTTTAAACTTTACCTCACGCCCAGCAATGTGAGGTAATTTACTCTGGTATTGCTTGAGATACATCGGAGCATGTGGCCAGAGATAAACAGACTGAAGGCTCATTTGTTTGGATGTAAAATATTTTATTTTTTATTTATTGGTGTTTGGTTGTCGCAACATATTTACAATATATATATATATATATATATATATATATATATATATATATATAATACCTAATATAAATAACTTACTTATTAATTTTCAACAAGTTATTTTACATGCCTCACCCCAGATAGACTCGAGCGTCAATCTCAACCTAAACTTTTGCCAAACACCCAAAAATAAAAAATATTTGAAAGTATTTTTCTTTGAAACAAACGTAGTCGAAATGTGACAAATATAACTCTTAATGTTGTACTCTTATGTGAAAAAGTTGACAATTCCATTCCTCCAAGTTGAAAGTCCTCTAAATTATCACAAGTTTAATCTTCCAATTGACATGTATATTTCTCTCACATCTATAGCATACTTGCAATATGTGCATTAATCATGGATTTATTTTTTCTTGACAAATAACACACCCACTTTGTCCGTCACTTAGATGAGTAGTAAAGATACAATCAGACTAACACACCCACTCACTTTGTCAACTCTCAACATTTTACTCTAAGAAGTGCAGGAGATAACACCATATTACAAGCTTGGTGCATTGACCATGGGATTGATGTTCTTAGTTACCACTTGAGCTGTGGAGATGTAACCATGCATCTCAATTGAAGAATGAAGAACTATAAACCTAAAACATGTCGTTTGTCAAGCTGCAAAAATTGACTTACTTTTTGCAAGGATTGAATATACCATAAAGATTGAAGAACCATTATACTCATCTGTCAAGCTGCAACAGGATTGAATAGCTCAGTAACAACTTTCAATTTTACAAATATATATTTCCAACCAACAACTAAGAAGCACTTGTATATTTTATAATTACATTACCATCAGTATCTAGCTGGCTTGTAGTTCGAATATGCATTTCGAGCTGCTTCACTTTTTTGTCGAATATCTTCATACATTTTCAGTGAAGCCTCTGAGAACTTGGTGAGTCGGTCAAGAACCTTTGTCAAACTTGCTTGTATGCAGCATAGCTTTGACGACCTATCATCATTCTTCTCACCGTCTTTACTTTCCAACTCCTCATTGTTGCTTGCATCAAGTGTTCTTTGTTTGTCCTGCAATTCCTCCATTTGGTGCCCAGCTGAATGGTGCAGATCAGATAAAAAGGCTTTGATGGATTTACTAAGTTCATCAGATGGCAAATCTTTGATCCCAGCTGACCAATCACGACATAGAACAAATATAGGTGGGGCCAGAACACGACGAGGGGAGAACGCCCTTCTGCCCTTGGATCGCTCTCGTGGTTGCAAGATGCAGTTCTGCAACCAACCATTGAGAGCTTCCACGTATGACGTATGGCTGCTGATCCAATTTGCAAAACTCAAGCCAAAGCAATCAATCTCATGCTGGAGCTGAGACATAATCTGCCTCTGTGCATCTCCCTGGGGAGTTCCTGTTGAGCTTTTAGCATGGTATGCTAATGATATTGTTATGTACTGTGCGTGATGGCATTCAAGCATGGCCTTCCACATCCTGATTAATCTGCAGAGGGGCCAAATTGTGTTGTCATGCATCTGATAACAATCCAATTACAATATAATATATCCAACTGTATGCAGTCCAGTTATGGATCAAACTGAAGTTTGCAGTCCAATTATCTTCCAAACTAAATAGGAAATATAAAAGATATCTTACCCTTGAATCAGTTCTACAAGTTGTGGCTGCAACTCTTCATCCCTCATTTTCTCAATTCGCTTTGATATTGAATCAACGGCATGAAGTGCCACTCTTATTCGTGAATGAAGATCTTTCACCACTGCTCGGGTTTTGTCAATCACTTGGGCACTAAGATCCTTTGCAAACTGGTGCCTAAGCTGGTTACACTTCAGGTCATACTCCTTCCTAATTGACTCACTGGCCTGCAGAGGGCCCAACAGGTGAGAATGGGAAAAACGAGACACAGCATTATATCAGCAAAGGACCTGATAACAGTTAAGATTGCATCAACAACAATAAGGACATAAAATGTTACTGGAAACCTGGAGAACTAGACACTGGATTAATTGAAGAAGATTAATATTTTTTTTTCTGAAACTCCTGATGCAACAAACATGCCAATAGACACATTCTTCAGGTGAGCACTGAGAATTTAGTGACAAACATTCTGACAGGTTCTCACTGAAAATTTAGTGTCAAAGAGAATGTTTCTGTAGCTTGGATGAGTTTACAACTGATCAAATAAAACAAAATTTTTCAACAAGGAAGCTAATCATCCTTCGAAGGATGATGGACATTGAGGTTAAACCACATTGAAATGATCCAACTAATTTATTAATGGTCACCAACAGTTTAATGAAAATTGGGGAAGCTCAACACTTACATTTCCAAAACAGGGTAAGAAATGACAACAAAGTTGGGATCATAGAACATTAATTCCAAACCCCCAATGTAATGACCTAATATCTCCTATAAATAATATAGAAACTTTCAAGGTAATTTAGTAAAAGTTTAGATAATTAAATTTTTCAAAAAGGATAACCACACCATTACAGGATGAGATTCCAACCTGGATTAATAAATAAGCTGCATAGTTAAATTTAGAGACAAATAATTGGGTAGGCAACATTAAAATAAATACGCAATGTGAGGACATAGGGTTTCATCCTTACCAAAAAAGAGATTAAGGGAGAGAGGCGCTAGAGAGAGTGGTCTTTGTAGTGATGTGCAAGAGGAAATATGCGTACCCACGATCGTAATCAAGCAATTGATTCTTTATCCTTGCTTAAATGAGTAGTTGTGCACATGCAATCAATACAAATGTGTAAAATTGATATTTTGTCTTGAATCTTGTGCTATGAGACGAAGTTGAGTGTTTAGATCTCAAAACTGATCTCTTGATGGTTGTATGAATTATGAGTTATGTATGTTCCATACTAAAAAACTTTTCTAGTGATAATGTAGATTGATTATCATTCATAACTTTTACTGCATGGGAGTGTGAGTGTTGACCAAGTATATATGTTAAAATATCTTTATTATTATTGTTTTATTTATTTTATTAGCTGTTTTTAGCCTTTTATTAGGTGTTTAATGTAAGATCCCATAATCAAGGGATCGCGTAGATTTTGACATCATTCTTTTTTTTTTTTTTTTGGTTTCCTTTTTTTGTATCCTATTCTTGTATGTAAATATAACTCTTGGCTCTCAGTTTGAGTAAGCCAAAACCCAAAACTTCTTTTTGGTATCAGAGCAAAACAAAAACCTTCGCCTCTCCATCTTCCTTCCCCAACGCCGCCACCTTCTCTCTCCCTCTCTCCTCTTTCCCTCACCTCCAGTGCACCTCCCTCTCCTCCCAGCCCTTGCGCCGCACCCCTCTCTCTCTCTCTCTCTCTCTCTTGGTGTGGCAACCCCAACAAGGGCTTGTGCACACAGTAGAGGGGTAACCCTCTATTTTTGACCCCCTTTTTAGGGGAATTCCCTTGGCCATTTTTATGATCCAAGGGTCCTTCTGGTTTTTTTATGACCCAAGGGTTCCTCACGTAGATTTTGGCATCTTTCTTGTTTTTCTTTGATTTGGTTTCCTTTTTTTTGTACCATATTCTTGTATAAAAATACAACTCTTGGCTCTCGGTTTGAGTAAGCCAAAACCCAAAACTTCATTTTGGTATCAAAGCAAAACAAAAACCTTCGCCTCCCAATCGTCCTTCCCAACGCCGCCACCTTCTCTCTCCCTCTCTCCTCTTTCCCTCACCTCCCTCTCCTCCCTCTCCTCCCAGCCTTGCGGCAACCCCAACAGGGGCTTGCGCACATAGCAGAGGGGTAACCCTCTGTTTTTGACCCCTTTTTAGGGGAATTCCCTAAGGTTTTTTATGACCCTAGTGTCCTTCTGTGTTTTTTTTTTTTTTTTTGACCTTTGTAGGCTGCCGGTTTTTGTTTGACAGCATATTTAGAGGAAAGCGTCGATTTTTCCAACCATGTTTTTCTTTTTCCTCCCTCTTTGACGTGTGGACCAGCCTTATTTTGGTACTATGCGTGATTTTGGAAGCCAAAAGGACACTTTATCCTCGGTCCAGCATACTTTATCTTTGGCACAACATGCTCCGACGCAGTGGGTTACTAGTGTGCTCTTAAATGGGCGCAACTTCATATCTTGGTCCCATTCTCTTCAACTTTATATTGGAAGGAAAAGGAAAACTGTTTGGCTTTTGGGTCTAGTCAAGGAACCGGAAAAGAAGGATACTAAATATATTGCATAGGACATGGACAGATGCACTATTCTAGGTTGGATCTTCAATTCAATGGAGGAGCATATCTCTAATATGTTCATGTTTCACACTTCCATTAGCACAATATGAACCTCTCCCCGATTTCTCTGAAGAAGCTGCAACTCTTTTGGCCAAGAGACTGGACCGCCAGCATACCTACCAATAGGTTAATATTTGATCAAACAAAAGGGCTTAAAAGTTCAAATCGATTGTTGCGATTTGATGATCACAGCATCACTCCTCTCAAAGAGAAGAGGAAGAAGATGATGAAGAAGAAGACGATGATGAAGAAGAAGAAGAAAGAGGAGCGAGCTACGTAATTGGCAATCAACAAGAAGGCACCTCCAATTATCGCATTAGCCATTTCAAACATGTCATATTGCAACACTAATAAGTTTATAGGTTAATATTTGATAAAAACAAAAGGGCTTAAGAGCCCAAGTTGATTGTTGCGATTTGACGATCACAACATCTCCCTAATCGCAGAAAATAGAGAGATAGGGAGAGAGAGATCCGTGATCGGCGACCAACAAGAAGGCAGCTCCAGCAATCGCATTAGCCATCTATAAACAAGTCTGTATGAGTTTTGGTTTTTTTATTTATGAGCATCTTTCTGTTCTTAGGAAAATGAATGGTGTGGAGGTTCTGGTGGTGGGATATATGATAACCATGCCCCTCTCTGGAAGTATGTCACAAAGTTAGAAAAAATTGGTGGAGGGGGTGGGAATACTCGGTTTCAATGCAATTACTGTCAAGATATTTAAAAGATCATATTATAGAGTTAAAGCACTCTTAGTGAGGATGAGTAGTCATGGTATTCAAGTATGTCGCAGCGTAGGCGAACAACATTCGAGATGAAATGCGTGTTGGATGAAGCTGAGATGAAATTGGAAATGAGTGTGGCCAAAGGAAGTTCCTTTGTCACCAAGTGAAAATTCTAGTAAAATTGGTTCCTCCTTAACTGTAAATGTTATCATAGGTCTTGGGTCGTAAATGCATGGGGCTTTTGAGCCAAAGAAGAGGAAGGGTAGATCCTTTTTAGAGAAAGCTTTTCATCTTGGAGCTCAAAGGGAGTTTCATACTGAGATAGCAAGGATGTTTTACTCAGCTGGTTGCTTACCATTCAATCCACACTTATGCCGCTAATAATATGATTTGTGAGTTATATTCCCCTCGATTACAAACATGCTGAGAACTACACTTCTGCAAAAGGAGAGAGAAAAGAATTCACGGAGGGAAAAAGGTGAAAGTATTGCTAGTGATGGGTGGTCCGATGCACAAAAAAGGCCAATAATAAATTGTATGCCAGTTTGTGAAAGTGGTTTGATGTTCTTAAAGGCAGTTAATTGTGAGGGTCTATGAAGCACAGACACTTCGCCTGAGGTGCCATGGCAGTGTCAAACATGAACACGCTGGGAATACAGCCCGCACACATGTCCAACACAGCCAGAAGTGTCCACATTTTTAAATGATTATTATTTTTAGACGGACATAGAAAGAACACGACCCGGATAAGCCAAGGACACGGCTGGATACATAAAGACACGTCCGGGATACGTTTCAGGACACAATGATGTCAAATTGTAAATATATTTTTTTAAAAGCATGGGGCTCAACTAGAATTTTAAAATCTAATGGGGGTAAAATTATAAAAATAAAAATTAGGTTTACAAGCCCAACAACAACATAAGGTTATTCATATATTTTGTTTGTTCTTTTGCCTGAAGCTTTGTTCTTACTTCTCATATAAAAAATGTAAGACAAATCAATGAGAGAGAAAGCAAGGAAAAAAAAAAAGAAAAGAAAAGAAAAGAGGAGAAATAAAGAATAGAAGAGAAAGTGAAGACCGTCAGCCGTGTCATATTTTTTTGAGATTTTTCACATTGTCGTGTTTGTATCGTGTCGTACTGTGTCCATGTTTCCTAGATGAGGGTCGGTGAATATAAGAATAAATATTTCATTGCCAATCTGCTCGAGGAAACCATTATTGAGGTTGAACCACATTATTCAAGTGGTCACAGATAATGTTGTGTGTAGAAGTGAGGGATTTCTTGTTAATGCTCAGTATCCACACATCTTTTAGACCCCTTGTGTGGGGCACACACTTAATCTTGCATTAAGAATACGTATCTCTTGTTTTTCATTCCCATTCCCATAAGAATATATGTGCAGTAAAGATTACTGAAAACTTCAATAAACCACCCTATGAGATTAGCAATTTTCAATGAGCATGTGAATTTGAAGATGCTCTCAATTACCGAAACACTCTTTGCTTCAACCACTGTGATGCTGTAAGGTTTAAGCTCATCAAGAGTGGATTCTGATTAGTACTTGAATAAACCACCCTATGAGAATCTCATAGGGTGGTTTATTGAAGTTTTCAGTAATCTTTGCTTCAACCACTGTGATGCTATAAGGTTAATCTCATAGGGTGGTTTATTGAAGTTTTCAGTAATCTTTGCTTCAACCACTGTGATGCTATAAGGTTTAAGCTCATCAAGAGTGGACTCTGATTAGTACTTGACGATTATTGGAAAAGTGGCATTTGTGAAGGAAAAAGTACTTGACGATTATTGGTGGGAAGAAATTGATAAAATACCTTTTTCAATGTAACCTATTTAAGAAATGCTTAGGAGGGTCAGTACAGACAAACC